AAAAAAAAAGAAAGAGCTTTATATCAAAGAGCAATTTTGTATATTAAGAAAACATCCCAGCCCAATCCTGATCAAGTCCATAAGTCTGATGTTATCCCATATGTCCAATATCAGTAGATAAATTCCTCTTCAGACACCCACAACACATGCAATGATGCTCAATACTGGAAGATCACAGGCCAGTGGGTGGAAAGTCTTGTGGATCCAGTGGCAATGGAAGCAGCTCAGTTGGCATGGGTGTCCACATGTTTCCTCCAGCCCCAGGGCTCTGGCTCCATCAGCATAGCTCCAGCTGGCTTGTCAACAGGAATGTGTTACAGGGAGAGTGTGTCCCACCTCCAGGGAGGAAGACAGGAGTTCCCAAAATCCTTAGGAGAAGGCCACACCCACACAGAGGCCTCATTGGCTATGACCTGATTGACAGGCTAGACTCCACCCCTTTGCAAGTTGACAGGAAATTATGTAACTGCCACACCTACACAAAACCAAAACAATGAAAGTCCGGCCACTACTGTTTAGGCACTTCTGCCTAAACACCTTTGATCGGATGTTCCCCATTTTCCTTTTTGGTGCCCTGTCTGCCTACTTCCCCTGTCTCTCTGTGTTTGTACTATCCACTGGGAAAGTCTCATTTCATTGTGCTCACTCCCATCCTATGAATCACTGTCAAACACCAAGTAAGCCCAGCCTGTACCCCAAAGGGTTGGTTAGAGTATTTCTTTTGAATCTGTCGCTTGTGGTATATGTAAGCGGACAGTTCTCCACAGACTTTCCCCAGCTCTGTCCACTGAGCCTTGCACGGTTCTTCCGTGCATCCCTTGCTGCTCATCCCATCTCCTTCCTGAAAAGTGCTGTTTGCTTTCCTCTCCTGTTATTTGGAAGCACTGCTTGTGAAGTTGAGGTCCCTGAGTGGTCTGTGCTCCACTGCAGATCTGAAGACGGGGTTTGAAGCGGTCCTCCAGGACTTGGAAAGGGGATCTGGTGATCTTTTTCTGTAAAGACTCCAAACTCACTGCTACCGAGTCCATCTTTACTTTTAGGGTGGAGCTGCCCCTGTGAGTTTCTCAGGCTGTAACTCTTTACGGGAGTAGAAAGCCTCATCCTTCTCCCTTGGAGCTTGCTGGTGGTTTCAAACTGCTGACCTTGTGGACCACAGCCCAACGTGTAACCACTATGCCACGCGGGCTGCCAAGAAAATCCTACAGAGCAGTTCTACTCTGCACATGGACATAGGGTCGCCAGGGGTCAAAGTCTACCCAATGGCAAATAACAACCCTTGTGGTGCTTAGGGAAGCCTTCTGTTCGGAAAGATGCTAATTCCCTTTGGGACACATGGCTATGGCTTTGCTTTCGTTTTTAAAGGACATTTAGGAATTGAAGGACTTGGGTTTCTATTTTCTTAGAACCGCGCTCAAAAGAAACGGCTGAACATTATCATCGTGGCTGAAGGAGCAATTGATTACCAAAATAAACCTATTACTTCTGAGAAAATCAAGGACGTAAGTACGGTTTCTTTCCTTTACCCTGCTGTCTTGAAGTATGAGATATAACACCATTGCCAGGATTTTGGTGTAAAACATTGCACTATTTTTTTTTAAAAAAAGTCTTCCTGGTGTTTATAAATATCTTCTAAACGAATCTTCATGTTAATGGAATGGCAGCAGACAAGCTCCAACTTCTGGAGACACAGGGCCTCTACCCTTCTGTCAGTAATATCCCTAAAAGGCCATGTGAACTCCCTGCATAGGAACTGAAGTAGCACAGAATAGCCGATTGTGTTCTTTAATATAACAGAAAACCCTAGCTCTTAATGGCTTACTGCTCAGAGGATTAACAACTTGGCTGCTGGGCCCCAGGACTCTTTATGGGTGGCGTAGGAAAAGATGGTGTCTGCCCAGTTCTCCCTCCTTTTAACCTGGAGCTACAGCTGAGCATATTCTTAACCACAAAGAAAGTCCCTGTGTTGAATCTGAATCACTGGTCTTGAAGTGGAAGCAGACAATAGTAGTCTTGTTGCCCTAGGACTCACTCAGATGGGTGTATACTTGTTGAGGCAGGACTCTTACGGCATCGAGCCAAGTTGCCATAATTAGAGTGGCAACCAGACACTAAGGCACTAGACGCTCGCAGAACAGAGCAGACGCTAGTTGAAGCTACAGGTCAGGGCAAAAAGACGTTACAGCCTAACTTTTCATGGTGGTTTCTCTATTATATTTAGTCACAGGTAACTGTTGAGCCAAAAGATGCATTTGATTTATTCTCAGACCAGGTATCCACTTGAATATTCCAGCTTTGAAAGCTTTCTGGCAGTGAGCTGTCTGCCGATAGGAGAGCTGTCAAGATGTCATCGATACAACGAAGGCAGAGATTGGCTTTTCCCACGTGACTGAAGTGAAGACTGAGTCATGCAATAGAAAACCAAGAAAGAGCCATTGAGCGCATAAAGCCCAACCCATTGAGCTCTCTTCTTTGCCATTGTTTTTACAGAGGAGTAACCCGAGTGCTAGAAAAGGTTCTGTGTCCTGTCCTAGGTGCCCTGCTAGTATTCAGATGGGCTCAGCTCTGTAGGGGAATGAGAACATCTCGGAGTGACTAGACCACACTGCACACATCACAGCTGTCCAGAACGGGGCGGTTTCAGAGACTTGTATTAGTAACACTTCAAATATGCCAAACCAAACCCCTTGCTGTTGAGTTGTTGATGTTGCAAGTCATTGAGATGGAATCTTAGCTATAGAAATGATTTGCTTTCAGTCATGTTACTTAACATTCATTTGCTACGTGGGAGAAGAGGGTCTTATTTATGTTAACTTCCCTTAGCAAGTGAGATTAACTTCCCTTAGCATGTGAGATTTTAGACTCCCCCCACCCCCCTTTAGATCCAAAGAAAGAGTAGCAAAATTGTTTCTCAGTACTCTGCACCTATTACTGCATATCCTTTTGTTTGCCTGGGTGTGGGTTCTCCGCATCTCCTCATAGATTTGTCCCTCTAGTTGGTAGTGAAGCAGCTGGGGTTCGACACCCGCGTGACGATACTTGGACACGTGCAAAGAGGAGGAACGCCGTCTGCTTTTGACAGGATCCTGGTAAGTGTGTGAATTTGCAGACATTTTCACCAGATCTCCAGGAAAGTGTTATTATTATATGATAGTAGTATTTCTGGGAACGGAAATAAAACTAATCAAACCAGCTGAGTACAATACCACTGATATTTCACAGCGACAGTTGGCAAAATAATAAACAACGCATCTATTTATAGACATAGATGTATGTCTATCACACGGGGTGGTTCATTGCTGAAAATACTAATAGCCCGTGTTTTCCTTTTAAATATCCTGTGGGACTTGCTGCTCTGTAGCTATTTCTAGGCCCAGAGTCACTCGCATACCAGCAGCCTCATCGCACATGCAAGGTTGATGTGCCACCTGCAGTGGCCGGCGTGTTCTCAAGGAAGGCCAGCACCCAGAATGTGGAAGGAAGGTCGATGTGCAGAGTGTTGGTTCGTGAAAACACACACAAAGGGGCGGCAGCAATCCAGAATCCAGATTTTCCGTTTTTATTTTTAAATATCGTCTACTCTTCCTCTATCTCTAGCCTCTGTCTCCACTCCTCTTGACCAGGTCTTACTGAAATCATAACATCGCTTTGATACAGAGAACTGTGTTCAGAGTTCATGGGAAACAAGAGCCAAAGAGTGGAAACAACCCAGGTGTCCGCCAGCACATTAATGGATATAAACAAAACAGTAAAGCTAGACAATGAGAGTTTATTTAGTCGTCAAGAGAAGTGAACTTCTAAAACAAAGCAACACATGGGTGAGCCTGGACACTGTGGTGCTGAGTAAAGTAAAACTACTGACCAACGGATGCATGCATAATATATGATTCCAGTTCTATAAAGTCTATTGTTGGTAGGCACTTTTGATAAGTAAATAGAATAGGCAAATCTCCAACAATGAGTATGTAATACAATAAATGTGTCGGCTGTCCTCCCCGCAAAAAGGCAAATCTATCCTTTCAAACGAATATTAGACGCTACATGATGAGGCTGAGAAAAGGAGGATTGGGGAGTGGAAAAGTAAGTCAGTAAAAGCAAGTTGAAAAGAACAAACAAGGAAAGACAAAAACAAAACAACCGCTCGACCTAAACAAACTCCTGAACAAGATGGGCTCCCCAGGAATTCCACCAGAAGTTGTGAGCTCTTCCATAACCTCGAAGAGGGGAAACACTTCCCAGCTCCTTCTCGGGGGGCCAGCATTTCCCAAGAGGCCACAGTGAGACAAAGGAAAGAAGACGGTAGAACAACACCCCTCCTGAATAGAGACGTGGGAACCCTCAACACCGTAGTAGCAAACCAAATCCAACCGCAACGTCTGCAGTGGGGAACCCGTGACGAGAGAAAATGTAAGGAATATGAAGAAGGAGACGTGGTGGCATGCTAACCACAAGGTCAACAGGTGAAGTCCAGGTGCTCCTCGGGAGAAAGGTAGGGCTGTAGTCCAGGGAAGATCTCCAGTCTCTGAAACCCGTAAGGACGGTTCTAGTCTTGTACAGAATGGCCGTGAGTCAGGAGAGGCTCAGTGGCCGGGAGTCTGGTCTGGGAAAGACTATGAATGTTGAATTGAGATTCCATTCAACGGAGTGGAAAGAACGTTGAAAATGGACGACTTTAAAGCACAGTTTGGCGCCATCTGAATACTGTGGTGGAAAAGCTCATGTTTAAGGATGCATCTCTGTGGGAACACATGGGGGTGGGAGGCTTGGGGTCCCTTAGAGCAAAGAGCTCTCTAATCGTTGCTGATTTCCTCTCCAGGCCAGCCGCCTTGGGGTGGAGGCTGTCATCGCCCTCCTTGAAGCCACCCCAGAGACCCCAGCCTGTGTGGTTTCCCTGAGCGGAAACCATGCGCTGCGCCTGCCCCTGGTGGAGTGTGTGCAGATGGTGAGTCCCGTGCGCAGCCAGTCCTGCGTGGCCCAGTTCCTGACTCGGTACTCACGGGGCTGTGGGGCCACCGCTGCCAGGAAGTCAGAGCGCCTCTTGTGTGTTTCTGCTGCTCGTAAGATGGACAGCGAGTTAAGTGACTTTTCTAAGAACAAAAGTAGCTTCCTCCCTGGATGATGGTCACCAGGCTTTGTGGTTTCAGCCTTTGGGAAACCCAGACCATTTTAGTGTGTGTGTTTCTTGGTGTTTTTCTCAGTTACCATCGAAGTGACGTTTTCAGAAGCAACTTGCTCCAAAACTGAGTCAAACATAGGTGTCATCTGAGAGTCATCGTGTGTTAGAGCAACACGTCCCCCCAACCCCCAGAAAAGGTCTATGCGACCTCTACTAAGTGCTGTGGGGCCGCACACAGGGAAAGGTTTGCTGTCCAGTTTCACAAGGAATAAATAAGGTTTAGCTTCTCCACCCTTTAACCTCCTCCTGCCCTCCTGGTCCCAGAAACATCCAGAACTATAATGTGGCTGTTAGAATGGCAAATTCAGGGCATGTGTCCACTCCCGTCACTGGGGCAGTGGATGTAGCAGGACTTTTTTAAACGATTTAGCATTTTCTAGTTGGTCATTATATCAGCTGGTGATGGAATTGCATCCGAAATAACTTTTCTATTTTGTATTTATTCCAAACTTTTCATACGTAGCCATGACCATCATTTTCTGTTGTCTTTCCAGTGACTCTGAAGTATTTATAGTTTATAGTCTATGCGAGAAGCCCTGGTGCTCTAGTGGCTAAGCGTTGGACTGCTACCCAACAGGTCAGCAGTTCGAAGCTACCAACCGCTCTGTGGGAGAAAGACGAGTCTTTCTACTGTAAAAAGTGACAGTCTCGGAAACCCACGGGGCAGTTCTACCCTGCCCTTGAGGGTCACCCCAAGTCAGAATTGGCTCAATGACTGTGAGTTTGGGTTTTGTTTTTCGGTATTCAGCGAAGTAATTAGACCAAAGGACTTATTAAAATTAATGACCCTAGAAACAATATCCAGAAACTTACAGAAGTTAGTAAAGTGTGTGTGTGTGTGTGTGTGTGTGTGTGTGTGTGTGTGTGTGTGTGAATCAAAGGACTGGAACACCAAGCTGTGTGCCGTAAGTTTGTTTTTATCATGCTTCTTACATCCAGTGTTGCATTGTTGATTCAGAAGCAAAAATGCGTTTGCTCATTTGTCTTGTCCTTCAGATCAAAAAGCGATGTTATGACTAAAAGCAATAGTGAACCATTCATTGAGCACCTGCTACTAGTGAGGTATTTCCTAATGCTTTGTATGCCTTTAGTACCTATGAACAGCTTGAAAAACAAGGAGTGTTTTTCTTATTTTACCGACAAGGAGCTTAAAGTTCAGAAAGAGAAACCATTTGCCCCAGACCCTAATGCAGGAAAAGAACAGAGATAGGATTCTAACTTGGGGTGTCTGCCCTAAGCCCAAGTTCTCTGCCCAGCACAGACCTGCCTACTCAGGCCCAGAGGCCTGCAGCTGGTCATTTTTTCTCACGACACTCAAATTGAGCAATTTTCAGCACCCTTGCCCAAGAGCTCCATTTGGCTATGGGTTTGCTCTCTCAGAGTAAAATCCTAACCGTCTGAGATGTAAGCATCGGGAGGGTCATTGCCATTTGTAAGCATGCGGACAGAGCTGCCAACAGCTGGTCTAGACTTTTGAATATTTACACTGCTCGGCCAGCTGAGGTTCAGTTCTGAAGGCAGGAACCATAAATGGGAAGACGAAGCTAATTCTGCTTGAGCCCCACTGTATCGTTCACGGGAGCCCTAAACCTCGACGCATTCTTTCCTTCATTCCTTTGTAAAGACCCAGGACGTGCAAAAGGCAATGGACGAGAGAAGATTTAAAGATGCTGTCCAGCTTCGAGGAAGGTGAGTTCTTCAGAAGAGAACTATATTATTCGTAATAAATGTGCTTCTAGTACTACTTGCTGTAGTGACTGTAGTGACCTGTACTGTACCTGTACTGTAGTGACCCCCCCACAATATCAGAATCGAACTGTATTCCCAAGGGGTTTCGGTGTCCGACTTTGGGGAGCTGATCAGCAGACTTTTCTTCCGCAGCACCTCCGTGTGTGGACTCCAAATGCCCGCCCTTTGGTCCGCGGCCAGCGTATTAACCCCGTGCTGGGCGCATTTCTTCTTCAGCTGTGGTCCGGCTGAGCGGGCTTAGAAATGGGCTTCTTCTACTCCGATACAAAACTTCAAACATGACAGAACAAAGAAAGCATTGGTTCTATATGGCGAAGACCTAGGTGACTATTAAAGAATAAAAGATGTTTCATATTGAGGGGGACAGGGTGAAAGATTAATCAGAATTTAGTGAGATTTTACTCTCAGGAGGAGGTTGCTAGCTTTTTGAAAAAGATACCGGTGAGCCACACTACAATGTCTTGTTTCTAGCCTGCTTCTGAACTAGAAACACATAGCGCCGCGGGTCCCCGCGGAGGGTCCCTGCAGGACATGGGATCCCACTCTGCCCTCCATTGGTCTCTCACCGCCAGTATACGAAGCTGACATGCAGAGACCGCCGACTTCTCGTCACTCTGTCACATTCTGGGGGCCCTTTGTCCCAGGTGAATCCCCTCTTTTGTACCCTCAGAAGCGTCCTTCTATTTCAGGAGCTTTCAGAGCAACCTGAACATCTACAAGCGGCTTTCCGTGAAGATCCCAGAGTCCCAGATTGTCAAGGTGAGTGGTGAGTGCAACGCAGCCATGCAGCTCCCGCTTTCTTCCCAGTGCCCGACGCCTCACGGGCCACCCTTCTGCGCCGGCACGGCCAGTCCCTCCCCTGTGACCAGGTCCCAGTGCCGTCTCTCGAAAGACTTATCTGAACTCGCAAACTGACCCCTTTCACCATAACCTTTGTTTTCAAATGAAATGATATGAACTCTCATGTGCTGCAGTCTGCTACGAAGAGGGTGCTCTTGGGTGTGCACGAAATACGTGTTCACACAAGCACACGGAGGCCGTGACACACACTTCTCTTTCTTTTCTTTTTGGCAGAGTAACTGTAATGTGTGCATTATCAACGTGGGCGCCCCCGCGGCCGGGATGAATGCTGCCGTGCGCTCGGCCGTCCGCATGGGGATAGCGGACGGCCACAGGATGCTCGCCATCTACGATGGCTTTGATGGCTTTTCCAAAGGGCAGGTGAGTGTCATAGGAGACGCCAGGCTGAAAAATGCCCTGAATCTGAACATCATAAGTAAATAGGCCCCCTGTTGGAGTGACCCCAAATACCTCCTCGCTCTTTAAAATGGATATAAGACAGTAAATATCATGACAGTTTTTGAGGTATAACTTCTGCTCCAGAGTTCAGACCATCATAAGTTATGGTCTAGGATCTTCAAATTTCGCTCACGTTACATGTTATTTGTAAGTTTTTGTGTTAGTCCAGGTTGACTATCGAAGCAAATCCAGAGACCCTCATATATGGATAAGGAAGAGCTTTATATCAAAGAGTACTTGTATATTAAAAGAACTTACCAGCCTGGTCCAGATCAAGTCCACAAGTCTGATATGATTAGCCCATAAGTCCAGTACTCGTCCATAAGCCCCTCTGCAGACTCACGCAGCACATGCAGTGATGCGAAATGCAGGACGATCACAGGCCAGTGGGTGCCAAGTCTTGTGATCCAGAGATGGTAGAAGCATCTGCAGGGCTCCATGTGGCTCCCTGAGTAACTCAACATCAGGAAGGTGAAGCAAGTCCCATGTGGTTTCTCAAGCCAGAAGGAGAAAAGAAGTTCCCAGAATCTTCATGAGAAGGCCATGCCCCCAAGGAGGCACACTAGGTTGTGACCTGATTAACAGGCTAGACTCCACCCCTTCACTCTTAATACCCTCAAGTTGACATGAGATGATGTAACTACCACAGTTTCCTCAGAAGGTAATATCATAGCTGGGCCTCTGGAATCCAGTCGACTGACTTAGCAGCCAGATCCTGCTTCTCACTACCTGTGTGCCCTTGGGTGACGCAGTGAACACCTTCCTCTATCACATGAACTGACAGAAAGGATGGAATATCCTCTAACGGCAGTCATAACGTTTATTACCATAGGCTAAGTTTGTAGTTTCAGGTTCCCACAAACAGCAAAAACTCATTTAAAAATCATTGCAAAAAGAATTAACATTTATTGCACACTTATTATATACCCTTAGTAAAGCATTTACATCTATTTACCCAGTCAGATCTCACATTAAATCTAAAATGTTAACTCTGTTGTTCTTATGGGGAAAATGGGCTACAGAGGCTTTATTAGCTAGCGCGATGAAATCCATGTGACATGGGATTTTTAAAGATGATGGTAAGGCTTCAGATCTTACACTCTTATTCAAGCACTGTACTGGTTGAAATTACTCATTTAGTCTGTTATTCAACAAATATACTGAAATCGTAACCAACAGTCCATATTACCTTAAGTACATTTATTAAATAATAAAGCAGACTAAATTTCCTGACTCTATGAAGCTTTCCTTTGGGGGAGGGAGATGACATTATGTCCAAATAAATTGAGTAAAATACAAAGCGTGTTAGAGGGTGGTTTTAAGTGTGGAGCAACAGAGACAAGCAGAGGTAGGAGAATAGGAAACGCTGTGGGAGTTGCCCTTGGTGCTAAGGATGGATACCATAAAGATTTGAAGAAGTGAGCAAGTGACTCACTTGTGGGGGAGCTCTTGCCAAGCCGAGGAAAACAGTAGTGGGAAGGGCCTGAGGTGGGAGGTTGGCTTGTGTTCAAAACCTGGTGTGGAGGCTCCTGTGCGGAGCAGCGAGGAGGGGGAGATCAGAGAGGAGCACAAAGGAGATGAGGGCCTGGGGGCTGGCCAGCAACGCAGAGGAATTCAGTGTTTGCTTTCTTGATAAATCATTGTATTGAGGGCTCTTACAGTTCTTAGAACAATCCATACATCCTGAGAATGACGATGGCAACAAATGTATAAATGTACAAATGTGCTTGGCACAATGTATGTATGTAAGAGTTGTACGAGCCCCCAATAAAATGATTTTTTTTTAAATCCATACACCCATTGTATCAGGCACATCTGTACATATGCTGCCATCATTTTCAAAACATTTTCTTTCTACTTCAGCCCTTGGTATCAGATCCTCTTTTTTCCCCTCCTTCTCATCCTCATGACCCCTTAATAAATTATAAATTATTTTCATATCTTATGCCACCGTTGTCTCCCTTCACCCACGTTTCTGTTGTTCATCCCCTGGGCGGGGGGGCTTATACATTGATCATTGCCATCAGTTCTTCCTTTCAACCCCTACCCTCCGCCTACCCTCATGGTATTGCTACTCCCATTATTGTTTCTGAGCATTTATCTGCCCTGAATTCCGTGTGTCAAGAGCTCTCATCTTTACCAGTGCACATGCTCTGGTCTAGCTGGATTTGTAAGGTAGAACTGGGGTCTTAGGGTGGGTGGGTGGGTGTGGCAGGGGGGGCATTAAAGAGCT